TTCTACATTAATCTAAATTAAACCCATCACCTTTCACCATTCTTAGTTTGCAAAAGGGGAGGATGAGTTACTCTTTTTACTATGAATCTAAAGTCATTTCCACTAACTGTATATTTCACTTCTAACAGTAGTGACTACAAAGGTAATATAGATAGAAGAATATCCAAATGGATCATACAAAGATTTAAATTATGAAAGGAAAATGTATATAGATAGACGATGTCAATGAGACCCAGGGAACAGAAGTAACAGCTATTTTGAAACAAGGGTCTAAATACCATTACTATGAGATAAGAGATCTAATTACATGGGATCAGGTAGCTCCTTGCCTTCACAAGAAGAATTGTGTTACTGATTGACCAGCATGGAGGTGATGGTACAGTACATGGTGACACAGTCTCCTCCAATGTTTCAGTGACACAAAATGGTTGGCATCATGCCTAGCATGTGTGAGCATGTGTTGTGGGCACTTTCACAAGGTCAATAAAACAGGAATGGATTTTCGTAATTGGCAACAGTCAAGCCTCTAAACTAATACTGCTGTTATTAATGAGCTTCTCGACTCAATAAATGAACAGCTCTGATTTTAAGTTCCAGCTGGAAATCACAAACTAGAAAGTGCCACTCTTGAATAATATTAATATAATAATATAAGTGATAATATTAGTTCAAGGACTGTTTTTTTTTTCTGTAAAGAATCACTTAACCCTAACAGCCAGTTTCATTGATGTTCGAGCTCCCCAGAGCTGGACTAACTTTAATTAATTAGGAAGTATAGATCACAGTGATTGCCTCCACTAGGTTGCCTGGGATTAAAGAGCCCATTGTAACACCGAGTCCTAAACAGGCTTACTATCTAGGAATCTTCTCCTGGGGCCAGCTTGGTAAACAGCTCTTGAAAAGAAACAATACAAACCACAGGCAGGTGGGATTCATATCCCCTCTGCCACACTCAAAGCCTTGTTATCTCCATCTTCAACCTCCTCTTTCCTTTCCCCCCACTTCAAGATCAACAGGCCGTTCGGTCCCTGATCAAAGGGGGGGACTCGTGTTTATCAAATGCCACAATGTGGGGAAAGAAATGCTGCTCTTCGTTTTGATTTTTTCAGGGACGCGACTCCACAACGGGTGCTGACAGAAGTCTTAAATAGTTTTTACAGGTGTCACGTGGGCAGCGGAGCATGAACTGGAAAGTGGGCTGACCAGGGAGGGAGATGCTGGCTGGGTTTGTGTGGGGTTGAGAAACTCCAGAAGGCGATACACAAGTGCCTCCCGCACTAGGGAATGAGCAAGCTCAGGTCCGTGGAAGTTCTTTTCTCATCCTATAGAACAATGTGCAAATTGAGCAAAAACTCCCAGTTGTGTGCCATGCAATCGGGCTCGAGCCCATAGCATGTCTTCTCGAATTTCCAACACCGAAGATCCCATTGCTGAAAGAGATCCCAAAGCTACTCAGTGCTCACAGCCCTACACACACACACTGATATTACAAGTAGCTCTACTGGTGTGAAGTGGGATAACAAGGTTGAGGCAGATGATATTGTACATTTATTTCTTGATATGCATGATGGTATTACACAGTTTTGACTGGATATAAATGAGCCTCTGAATACCTCAACCGGTAAAAAGTGCAAAGTACAGATTTCCAAAAGATTAATCACAGGTGAGTATAAAGCCAATGGATTTCAGTTTTTTGAAGCACTGCATCAGGGCTCCAGAGTGGATCATCTTGTAAAGGAGATCGTAAATGCTAGTTCTAGGGTATGTCATGAGCGATCAGGGATTAATGGTCACCAGGGGGCGGATGCAGAGCTGGCTGGGCTCGATCGCTGAGCTGTTCAAGTCTCCTTTGGTTTATTGCATCACAATGACACCTGGGCACCTGCAGGATTGCGCTGATGTCAGTGAGAGAC